GGTCCCCCTTCTGGATGGGACTCCTCCTGGAGTGAGAGTAACCACAAGACGGAAGTTAAAGCTCCTGCTAAAAGAACTTCACATACATCCAGAACGTTAATTGAACAAACCGCAAAGCGTCACATTGAATACCGTACAATAGATCGGCTACACCTTGAATTTGATTATTATGACAGTGTAAGCAATTCCCGTTATCCTCAACAGAAGGGTCTACTGGTGGTAAAGCATTGTAGGCTTCTCTAAACTGTGCACTAGTAGTACCTATAATAAACTCGTCTGGAGACCTTGTCCCCATTGATGGTCACCACTGCATGCACTCCTCTTGCTTGTTCGCGGTCTGGTTGGAATAGAACGCTTCTCCGTTGCTCTGCTGGTGGCTTGCCGCTGGAAGACTTGACTGAACCAACACATGGCTCGGTTGGTCTGCTACCGAGCGTGCACCAGAAGGAACCACCACATGATACAACTGCAAGGACTGATCCATTTGCGCCACAGGCACGAAGGCTCCGTTTCTGGTGAGCTGATAGTAGGTTGCATTGTTACTAATGGTAGGCTGCTGATGGTAGCCGCCACGGCCACCCTGGAAGCCTCGTCCACCATGGAAGCCGCTGCGACCGCCGTGGAAACCTCGGCCGCGGCCACAACCTCCGTTCTTCTTGTTGCGTCTATTGTCGGGACACTCGCCCCAAGCGTGGGCTCCGTTGTGTCTGCGACAGGGGGCCGCATTGTACGCTTTCTTGCGCACTTGTTCACGCTTCTTGAAGAGGGACTTGCCCCGCTTCTTAAAGTCGTGCTTCCTAGAGCCATTGCCGTCGGTGGAACGCTTCCGTCCACCGTCCTCATCGGCTACGCCCTTTTKATCGTTCATGTACWTAACTACGTCCTCAATGGTATCCTCTAATAGGTCCCTACCACTGAGYTTATACCCAGTGCGCCAATGGCGBGGRAACGACTGAAATACGATCAATTTAATCTCCATAGCGTCAAGTTCTTTACGAATACCATGCAAAATATTTGCTCTCTCGCAACACATAATAATTCTATCRGCTTGCGCCTGACACGAGATGCCAGGAGGCTTTTTAACCTCATCTGACTGTAAATATCTAATAACATTGTCGCGTGTGTCTTGATCAGGCGTGTACTTCTTTCGGTAGGCCATTAGGGCGACACTCCAGTCCAAGAGACTCTCCCGATCGGTCTTGAGGGGTGCGTTGCCTTCCCAGAGCTTGTTCCACTTCTTCCGCGGGCCATGCTCCAATACCATCTGCCACTTCCKGTCAATCTCCGTCTCAGGCAACTCAAGGTCACTCATAGCATCAATGAAGGCTTCTTCAACATAGAATAGTTCCTGGACACCGTAGTTCTGGAGAACTTGACACAACTGGCAGTGAGCTTCTTCTTATCCTCCACCTTGGTACTCACATGAACCATGGTGAGTGTTACCTTCTTCATCTTATCAACTTGAAAGGGGTTCTTCAAGGAGAGACAGGAGAAATGGCTTGGTTTCATCTTCAGTGTTATATTCACGTGATAATGCAATTAGTAATTACAGATTGTTGCTGCAATGAGCACATTGCACATGTTCAGGTAGTACGAGCCGGTTCTCTGATTATGATTTGGGGGATACGGGAAACTATAAATTCAANAGATTGTTGCTGCAATGAGCACATTGCACATGTTCAGGTAGTACGAGCCGGTTCTCTGATTATGATTTGGGGGATACGGGAAACTATAAATTCAAAATTAGATTTCTTTGCTACCAGAATTCAACTACAAATCGACTAGAAAAGGAATACAAATCAGATTTATATCTAGAAGTAATTGATATCTGATTTAATGTTGATTTTTGGTAGCCTTCCCAGATCCCCTACTAAGTAGAATAAACACTTATGGCATGTGCTGGTAGAGGAGCTACTACTACAACATGTCGACTATGTTTCTAGTACCAACTATCGACTATGTTTCTACCTCAAATCAAC